TGATTAATCGATTAATCATTGCAGCCCTAATAGCATAAAATCTGTAATTTTCACACAATTGGGAACAACTTTTTTACAAAGAACAAATCTTTCCCACTAAATTGGTCATGTGACTATGAAATAAGGGTGTCCAGGGACTCCAGGTGATTAATCGTCATTGGCTAAATACCACAATTAATCGTGATTAATTTTTTGTCAATATTACCCAACCTTATTCAGATTTTAAAAAATAAAAAAATAAAAAAACATAATGAAGTGTTTCATAAAACAAAATATTTGCAGTTCATTCAAAATGGGGCTCTTAATTATTTACCAATTCAAAAATGCAATAATTTTGCTTCACACAGTTTATGAAGGGGGAACACAAAAAGCACACGTAATAAAACAATATCAAGACAAATCAAAGTAAAGCAGATAATGTCCATAATCATTGCTTTCTGACTGGATATACTGAGCTGATGAAAAAAAAAACTTCCAACAGATAAAAAATGGATGAAAATTGTAAAAAAAAAAAAAATAACTAACATGAAACAACTGAAGTTTAAACTTTACTAAACCCTAACTTTTCATTTTATTAACAAAAAATACTTTAATTTTAAATGAATACGCACTACATAAAATCAATGCCTGCGTGTTTTTAACCAAAGACATCCTTCCTGAATTGATGACACCATTTCATCAACAATCATCAGCACTGTTTCATCCTCTGGGAGTATGAGGTGTTGCCTGGGACGGGACAGGAGGAGAACACTGAGGACTTGAAGCATGAAGAAGCAGAAGAGAAAGGGTCTATTCATTGGCGTGGGCTTTTGCCAGCATAAATAATCACTGGACAAAAGACCTTTGTGAGAAATTTAGTCTGCTCACAGATTTTCAAAAACTAATAACTTAAACACAATTAAAACATTACTTTAAAAAAGAAAAAAGTTAAGTCTAATTTGTACTTGTTAAAGAAAAACGCCACATGTAAAATCTGGTAGCCGTTTAGACAAAATATAACATTGAATCTCCATTAAAAAAGACAAAACGACACATAACAGTCCTCATTTTTGGTACAATCACTGACCAAAGTCCACCACTAGGTCACTCAGAGCTTCAGTGTCAGCGCTGACATATCTCCAGTTATAGCGTATCCAAAATAATACTACATATAAAATTACAGTCAGTCCAAATGTGAAAAACAAGCACAGCATCTAAACTGAGTAAGGAGTGAAGCAGTGTACTTTCAAAATAAATCATACTAACTCTGTAGTTYTATTGCTACAAAACAACTTTACAAAACCCCATTTAAATAAAATTTTTAGTGTTGCAACCAAAATCTAAAAACTCACTGATAAACATGAATAAGTTAATGATTGACTAGCAGGAGTTTATTTTATTTATTTATCAAACGGAACTAAAAACGCTGTTCAGGGCGTTTTAGTTATACTTTCTGAAACATAGCTGATGTGTCCAAACAAAAGACTATACAAATGCTCGTCATGACGTTTGTTTCAACAAAATACGGCCCTTGCTAACTTTGGCTTCCGTAATGCTAGTCACATAGCTAGCTAGCACAATCGTTAAGGAAAAGAAAACCTTCACAACCACTTAAAAAAAACCACTTGTGACTTACCGTGAACTGTTGTGTTCACTGGTAAGGCATGGGAGCCATTGACCAACAGCTGGAGGAAAATAACCAAAGAAACGACGTAAAGATTTTTCCTGCTTGGCCCCGTATTCCCGTACGCCGCCATGTTGATGACAAATTAAAGAAGGCGTGGCTTATTTGTGTTAAAATATACAGAGTAGGCGTGGCCAGACTGTTTGCTTGGCTCTATTATCCATCGTCACATTTTATGCCGATATATTACCGCGGTAAAGCTGGCCGGCTCTGACTCCAGCCGGCCCAGCTCACAATCTACTATTGCGCGGTAACTCAAGATATTACGGTAAACCTATTTACG